CGATAGTTTGTGCCCAAACCACCTGGTCACCGAAGGCACTTGGCCTGCCCATCTCTCCAGGCAGATGCAGCTGCCGCCGTCCTCCCCCTCCCCCCACCTTCTGGAAGATCCCCACCAGGATGGCTGACTGCCATGCCTCCCTGGAGCAGAACGCTGTCGTCGAACCCAGCCTGTATGGTGAGTCAACACCTGCAGAGAAAATTTAGGGTTGTACGGCTCTTCGTGGGCCCCGCGCAGCCCTGTTGTGCCGATTCCTAAGCTCCCTTTGAAGTCCACGGGACCTGTGCATCGGTGAACACTAAGAACTGAGCCCTACGTGCCAATTTCCACCATTCACACGTACTTCAAAAAGATGAGACGGGGCAGGAAGTTCAAAAAGGATGTGCCCGCAACTGCAGCATGCAATCTCAGAAATTATAGGCACTGCCTTGTCACGCACGCCACACTGAGCAGGTGCTTTTGCCAAACGCCTCCTTCTTGCCAAGAAATTCCTGCTGCGGATTAATAGGAATTTCCAGTTCTCTAATCATTTCTTGTTCCTTGGAGCTATCACCCCAACATTTCTAGCACTTCAAAAAAAATTTATATATATATATATATATATATACATATATACACACAGGATTTAGCACCTGTTTGTTTCAGAAATACTTTCTAAAAACAGATCTGCCAAAAGGCCATCTCTAAAATTAGTCATATTTCCTGTTCTGCAAAACATAGTAAATCGTATTTTTAGTAACTCCTTCACTCCAGGTATCTGGCACTGTCGTGCTCCAAGCATAATTATTGGCAACTTACTAAGCAGGCAACCCTTATTTTTAGCCCCAAAATAGCTCCAACAAAAGTGATAAACAGGCTTATTTTTTTTAAACCAAGGGTTAGAACAAGATATTTAAACCTCTTAACCAATCATTTATGTACCCAACTTTGCATCTCAGAAAGACTTAATCACAAAAGGAGGTCCTTTGTGGCATCAACCCCTGCCCCTTTTTTTGCAGCTTTGCCTCTGAAACCAGCCCCCTACCTGAGATGTACCTTGCTTTTCACTGTCAGCCTTTCCAACTTTCTTTTAGCACGTTTTTTTTTTTAAAAATGTAACAATAACCAATTATGTGCCATAAACGATGCATTTCATAGGTATCATGGACCAATTTCAGGGGCAGCAAGCACAACCTCTCTGGGTCTTTCAAAGTCATCACTCAATATCCCCATTCAGCAACTTTGCTCTTTGTCTCAAAGCCACAGTGAATACTCTTCAAAATCTGATTTTGTGGTGCCTTTTCCTCCTCCAATCATCAGTTTCCTGTAGTCGCAGACACTCTGACCTAAGAACATACCCGTTAAGAGTCTCACATGACCGAGGGAATTATTTATTTTTAAAGCCATATTAACAGAGACGACATCCACTCAAAGCTAAAGGAGGACAAAAATAGGTGTCACCCAAATCCATTCTCTCTTTTCAAGCAGCAACAGGACCATCTAGATCCAAATGACTTTCAAACAAGCAACTTCAGAGGGCAGGCAGGCGAAAATACTGTCCAGCAGACAGCGGTGACCGAAGGAAGCTTCTTGATGAGGTAGGATTGAAGCCTGAGATGAAAGTCAGGAAAAAGTGGTTTTCTGTCATCTCCAACTGCAATTCCCAGCAAGCCGTGGAGGATGTGGTCCAGATCTTTTTGGAAATGTGCACTGAGTCGAAATGTAACACACACACACACCCAGTGTCCTAAACCAGCGGTACTCTAGATTTGGGCACAAATCACCCAAATTTGCATAGTTTGAGACTGCAGCTGTGAGGCAGGCCAAACATGGGGACCCTCTCTTCTTCCCTTTCTCCATCCCACCTTTCAGCTTTTGCATGAACTGATTCCCCACCACAAGCTGCCCCGGATCCTGCCACTTGGGGGATGGTACAGGGCCATGCATTCACTTCTTACTACAGTGTCCGTGACTTAATTTCCCTCCCGCTGTGGTCTCTGTCCTTTAAAAAAGGAAGACAAGGATCAAAGTGAAGGGCTCTATCTAAAGTATGCACCCCAAAAAAGGGGGCACTACTGGGGGGAGAGGCTCTCCCGGGCCCTTCATATCACCCACTGGGAGGGACACCTCACTTCCCCTCCCCCGGGGTACTGTCACCTCAAGGTCTCCCCTTGCTAGGTTCACATAAGTACCCCTTCGCCAGCCTGAAAACCCTCTTACCAGCTCCCCTTGTAAAAAGAGGGCTGCATATAGCAGAAGATTGACTTCACCTCTGTTTGGGTTCAGTAAGACAATATCCAGAACACAAGTGTGGATGGGGGCTCATGAACTCGGTCATCCTTCCCAAAGTCATGCATGCAGTGCACGCGCGCTCACACGCACACGCACATTTTAATCTCTGTGCTCTGCCAAAACCCTAATCTACTAGGTTAAGCGTTAAAGGTGTTGGATTTGGGAGATAAAAGCTATGAATGACACCCATTGTTTCCTTAAAGCTGGCAATTAAGTGAACTAAAATCCAGGTTTCTCGTGATGCTTGTACTCCCTAAAGCACTGATTCTCATGGCTAGAGCCAATCGAGTAGTTGAGAATGACAACCTGACAGGCAGTTAATGGTCCCCTCCCCTGGCTGAGATGAGGTGAGATTCATTTAAGAAAGATAAGACAAGGGGCGCCTGGGGTGGCTCAGTCAGTTGGGTGTCTGACTCTTGATTTCAGCTCCGGTCATGATCCCAGGGTCATGGGTTCAAGCCTCCCGTGGGCTCTGCATAGCAGGGAGTCCGCTTGAGATTCTCTCTCTCCTCCTCCCTCTGCCCCTCCCCCCAGCTTACTTGCACTCTCTTTCTTTCTAAAATAAAGTCTTCAAAAAAGAAAGAAAGAAAGATAAGACGAGAGAGAAAGGACATGGACACCTAGGGATGCAAAAGGCTCCTCATTTGGACCCCGTTTGGGCAAGAACTCCCTGCTCTCCAGGTAGTCCTGTGGGCCCAGCACAGAGCTCTAGAAGCCCCAAGTAGGGCCTGAGCTCGGAGCGCATCCTCGCCCAGTTCAGCCAAGGCCAACAGCCTTGTGTTATGAAGCCAAACTGCACCGGTGAGGAGCCAGAGACCCAACAGGGCATGGGAAAGTGGAGAGAAGACAGGAGAGGCTGAGCGGCGGGGCAGGCGAGATGCATGCGCTCGTAATGTTGGCCATATGCCGTCAGTATAAAGTCTCGTCTCTTTTTTGCTAAGTTTCAAGCGGGAACATGCACAACCAGACTGAACCCTATACGTTTCAAAGGAAAACAAAGTTCTACTACCCATGCCAACAGGAATTTACCCAGGCATGGGGAAGTGAGCCCACTGTAGTTAGCGAGGGGGACCTCGGCCGTGCACCCCGGCCGGATGTGTAAGTTGGCCAGCCCACTGCAAAACCAAAGGATTGGAAAGTATGCTGTGCTTGCTCTCTTTGGACTAGAATGAGGTTAGGAGTGTTTTTCCTTCTTCTTTGAAGACTTAATTCAGTGAGTTCATTCTGCACACTCCCTTTTTACATGGAAATTCAAGCAAGAGGCACTTTTTAAACTACTCGCTCTAATTCCACCTACCTAAACAAAGGTACCCCACTGGAGCATGAGCAGCTTAGGAATAGAGGACAAATGACAAGGTGATAGGGACCTGCACTCAAATGCGAGGGGCTTCAGGACCCAGTAGGGAAAGGAGGAGGGAAACCAAAGTTAGGTGAGGCTGGGGACGGGAGGGCAGGGCAGCTCGCCCCAGAATCAGAGCTCCACAGTACGGCACTCCCAGGAACTCCCAGGCTGGGTAGAGGATCTCAGGTCAGTGGGCAGAAGGGTAGGTAGGAAGCCTACAGTCCCCTCTCCCCGGATGTGCTGATGCCTCCCTGATGAATGAGTCACCAAAAGGGGCTACTCCCTGGCCAGTGCCGAGAGACTCCAAGCCTTGGAGGTGGGGGGGGGCAGGGGAGGAGGGGGAGCCTTGAGTCTGAGATGACCAGAAGTTTGCCCCAAACTTGGGCAGCTGCCAGGCAGCCTCACCACTTGGGATGACCCAGTGTCTGGGCCACTCCCCTGCAAAAATAAGTCATCCTATCTTGAGTTTCTTCTCACAGATCCAAGTTACAACTTAGATCTCCCTCAGCAACGCCTGGCAAGGGTTCACAACCATCTAACTTCTCACAAGTCTGGAGAGGGTGCCCCTTTGGGTCTCTGGGGATCTTCCTTTGCTTTCCCTTCTTCCAGGAAGATATGAAGGCACCTCCCAACCCTGAAGCTTGGGGATATCAGTGTGTAGTTCTCTACCGGCCTGAGCAGGGGCCTTACTGCAGCTCCTACCCAGTGGCTGAAGAGAGTGGAGGAGGGATGGAGGGGAGGAGACGGGAATGGGTAGGGAATGGAGAGGTGGGTGAGATCGGAAAGCAGGGGTGGGAGGGAATGCGTGGGTGGAAGAGGGGCCGGAAAACCCTCACCTGAGCACGAAAAACTTCCCTAGCTGCCCCAGCCTACAGGTGGAAAATGTCCCCGGGGTCTCGGCCTTCCCCCACCTCCTAAGCCCGGGAGAGGAATCAGATTCTAAGCTTCCCCAAGGGCTGGCTAACCGGCTCCCCCACCCAAAACGTAATGGCCCACGCAACACAATGGTCTGGCTCCAGCCCCTCGACTGACGTGGGGCTCCTATGGGCCCCAAGAACAGAGCACCTCCACCATCCCCCGCGCTGGTGTCCACCAGGCGGCGCTCTTCGAGGAGCAAAAAGGCGGCGGCTGGCTTAGTGGGTAAACCAGCCGCCCCCCCAGGGCAGCCGACCCCAGACCGCCCCTCGGGCCAAGCCAGTAAGCCGGCCGCGGGGGCGTGCGCGCGCGTTGGCCTCGTCCCCTCTTTCAACCCGCAAGGAAAGGCAGGTGGAGGGGACGTGCAGGGCCGGGACGACGCAGCCGGACTCCCGGTGCAGTGCTCCCGGCAGGGTCCCCCGCCGCTCCTCCCGCCCCGAGGGCCGGGGACCCCGCGCCCCGGGCGGCTCACCTTCTCTCCGGTCAGCACGTGCAGCCCCTCGCGCACCTTGGCGAAGGAGCCCTCGCCCAGCTTCCTGCTGCCGATGAGGTAGTTGCCCACTCGCTTGTGGTGCTGGAAGTCGCGGAGCCGCTCGCGGGGCACGCCGCTCACCCAGGCCGGCAGGAAACTTCCCTCGCAGGCCGCCGCCGGCCTGGCCGCGTCCTCGGCGCCGCCGCCGCCCCCGGGCGCCGCCGGCTCGCCCAGCAGCCCGTCCCCGGCCGCCGCCGGCATCGCGCTCGACCGCGGCCCGCCGGCTCCGCTCGGCTCCCGCGCTCGCAGCTCCTCGGCCGCCGCCTCCGGCTGTCCGGGCTCCTCCCGCCGCCGCCCTGGGCCCGGCCCCGCCCGGGCCGCGTCTCCCGCGCCCCCGGGCCGCCGCCGAGCGCCGAGCGCCGAGCGCAGACAATAGCGGGCGACCGGGGACCGGGGACCCGCCCCCAAGAAGTTCTTCTTCAGAGGGTCGCCCGGGCCCCTGCCAGCACCCCGGGGACCCCGACCGGGTCCCGTCCGGCGGCTGATGACAGTCGCGCCCCGCTAGCGGGCGCGGGGAGCCGGGGGGTGGCGGGGGGGGGGGAGGGGGCGCGGTCGGGTGTCGGGTGCCGGGTCCCGGAGCCCCGGCGCGTCCGCAGCCTCCGCTCTGCCGCCGCCGGCTGGCCCGCACGGGCTCGGAGCCGGCTCGCTCGTCCTAGCTGCGCGCCGGGGGACGGCTCCCGCCCGAGAGCGGCGCGCGGCGGGCTGCAGGCGCCCTCTGGAAGGCAGCAGAAGAAAGCCCCATTCAGTTTGAATTCGCAGAAATTCAATCCGGTCGCGGGCGGCGGGAACAGATGCGAGCTCCACTCCGCAGTCTGTGCACTTTCAAATCCCTCGTAGCCCCTCCTTCGCCGCGCGCAACAGCCGAACTCGCCCCTCGCGGGAGAGGGGAGGGCCCGGGGAGGGGAGCGGCGGCGTGGGCGGCGGAGTCACCTGAGCGCCAGACAGGGGTACCCCGCGCGGCCTCGGAGACGCGCGCTCCCGGGCCGCCCCAGTCGGGCTGCCCCCCGCGGCGCCTCTCGCCCGGATTCCGGGCTCGGGCTTTCTGGACCTTTCGGCGCTGAAATGCACCCCCGGCCGCACCCACCCGGGGCAGGACGAAGGGAGGGCGGAGCGAGGGCTCTCGAACCCGGTGGATGGGGGTTTAGGCGGTGGGTGTCCAGTCCAGGGCCCGGCACACAGTAGGGCCCTGTGGAGCCTGGGTGGATGGGGAGACGCTGCGTGGAAGGAAGGACGGGGAGGTGGCGGGGCGTCTGTCCCGGCTCGCACGCAGCCCCGGTGGCGGTGCTGGAGGAGGAGCCCCGCAACAATAGTAGTGGCGGCAGCACCGTAGGAACCAGGGCGCCCGCTGTCTCCGCTCGGAGGTTCACACCTCCGCTTTCCATTGGAACACGGCGCGCGGTGGCGGGAGGGGGTCGATCCGCGCTCCCTGCTCGTCGGGGCTTTTGTTCTGAGCGCGCCGTGACTGTGCTCATCCCGCAGAAACAAGCGCGGCTGCTCTCACGACTCTGCTCTTCCCCAGGATCCCCAACGTCTTCCCGAACCCAGAATGAGGAATCGCGGGAGGCAGAAGATTTTGGGGGGAGGGGGGTAGGTAAGGGGAAAGCATTTACAAAATACTACCTGTTGAGCAGCCAGATGAAAGGCGCCAGCGTTTAATGCGTACTTAACCCCTGGTATTACATCCGAGTCGAAGGAGGATTCGGTCCTAACCTAGTTCCTTTCTTTATTGACTCCTCGGTGAACGAGTGTGGCACGATCCCCGTCAGTGCTCTGAGATGGGGGCGGGGGGGGGGAGCGGGGGGTACACAGCTGTCACTAATCCAGTTGGGGGCTCTCTGACCCATCTGAAAAGCGACCCAGAGAAATGTCTCTCTTAAATAGATCAAATGTTAAATATGCTATAGTCAACTACTCACAAGTTAGGAGTCACCAGCCTCGTTATGACTAAGCTTGTGTTTTCTGTCAGTCTTATTGTCCCTGTTTTCCAATATTACATGTGTGGTTTTTTTTTTTTTTAAGATTTATTTTGAGAGAGAGAGAGAGCACAGAGGGGAGGGGCAGAGGGAGAGGGAGACAGTCTTAAGCAGGCAGGCTCCTGGCTGAGGGGTGTGCTGCCCAGGGGCTCTATCCCACAACCTGAGATCATACCTGAGCCCAAACTAAGAGTGGAACACTTTAAGCCACTGCGCCCCCGCAAGGCGCCCCCCAACATGACATGTTTTTCAAATATTTTTCTTACTGTGCTGAGGGGCTGTACCGACAGCCCACTCTCACAGTTTCTGCAAGGCCAGTCCAAACGCTTTAATGGGTCTGATTCAACAATCAGATCTGAGGACAGTAACACCGGGTAGAGGGAAGGCGGGAGCTGAATGACCAGGGCTGGTGTCTGCAAAGTAAAATGGTCAACAAATATCTGGTGAACGAGAAATATGGAACTCACTTTGGGGTCATAACCACACTGAATCTTCTTTCAGAAAATATTTGGGAGTTTCCCCAATGTTGTTTTAATAGAGTGTGATTTAAAAAAAAAATTTAGGACATTGGCTCTATCTGAAAACTTGGAAGTTCCTTTTTTTATGGTATATGGCAAATTTCTGAGTCGGTTTCATCAAAGTCTCTTTATGGCCTAAGGGGGAAAAAAGTTAGCTTCAGGCACAAAAATGGTGGAAGATGTTTACAATAAAATAGAGATTTTTCTTTCCTTTTAATTATCCTCTCAGGGTAGAGGTCAGAAAAGGGGTGAAGAAGAGAGAAAATCCAGGCCCATTAAATCTTTTTCAAGCCTGATGCCTGGGTTTGATTCAAGTTCACTGTTAATTCCATCAGCTGGGATGGATGCCAAAGAAAAGTCCAAATCCTATGCTTGCCTGGGCTTAGGAACTGGTGTTTGAACTACACCAGTCCTGTTCTTTGAAATGGTCTTGTTTAAGAAGGAATAACCCCAGAAGTTCCTTTATGTAAGACAAATTAGTACCCAAAAAAATCGATTGCCCTCATAATAGATAATGCAGAAAACATCTGGTTGAAAAGCAGTAGTCCAGCATTCAAGATTCGCTATGAATTGTCCTAAACTAGATTTCTCATCCTCCTGTGGGATCTCCTTGGGCACTACATTTCAGTTGTCTTCATCCAGGATCCGGCTTCCTCACCTCATCGCTCACCTCCACTCTCTCTTACTATGGATCATTCACTTCACATTCTCCTTGTGTCCTACATTACTTACCATGAGGGTCTTTCTTCTGTTAGACTCACTGAAAACAGGAGCTGTGTCTTATTTTACATTTTATTTGCCCCGGGACACCTAATACAGTGCCCAAGACATGGTCTTCATCCAATAAATATTTGTTGATTAAATGAATGAAAGTAAGAGTTTGCTGATTCTCCAGTGAGTAGAGTTTCATGGCTCCTGACTGCAAGACTCCATCTGTCCTGGGGAAGAACATTTCTAATAAGCTTCCAAAAGCCTTTGCCGTTATATCGTTGGTTGTCTTTGGCGGGGGGGGGGGGGGGGGGGGGGGCAAAAAAAACAACCTTTCTGTCGTGCCCAAGATGAGCTCTTGTCTACCTTGGATGAGTTAACCCTTTAAAAAAACATGACCAGCTATGGCGGGCTGGAAAGCCACAGAGAGCTTTGTCCGTTGACTTGTCCCAGCCACTTCCTTCCCATCTTCTTGTCCCATCTCCTCCCTCCAGATGGCTAGCAACTATCTCTGTGCGGCCACAGAACAGCCAGCTCGGGAGACCCAGCTGGAAGCAGTCAGAGACAATTAGAAGTAATCAGGCTGGCATGGGCAGGAAATGGAAGTTGGCGGGGGAGACAGGAAGACCGTGGCTGGTGACTCGGGGAAGGGACAGAGAGCAAAGCGAAGACAGCAGGCATGAATACACGCTGCCAGGAAGACGTTTTGTGAACTCTGCTCTCATTACTTCTCCCCAGACAAAGCTTCCAATACACACTCGAGGCAGGACTTGGACCCATGTCCCCAGAGTTCACGTTCGCCACTCTTCTTTCACGACACCCCGCTGTTGAATGGCACAGTGCAAGGCTGAGGAAGGAAGGATTCCCCCGAAGGAAAGGCGTGTGTGGAAGCAGCCTGGTGTGGTGCTGGTGAGCAGGCTGCCGGCAACACCCGGCAATGAAAACGAATCGTGACTCACCACCTCTCTGTGCCTTGGTTTCCTTCAGCTGTGAACATTAAGGAAGCACGAAGATTAAATGAGGTGATGCACACAAGGCATTCAGCCTGGTGCCTGGCATTTATCAGCAGAGCGTGACCTTGATCAATACTTCTTTCTATACCCTCATCACAACACTGAGAGAAGTCATTCGAGAATGCCCCAGAACTCCCCCAACCCAGTTGTCCCTGTTGCTGAGGAACTCAAAGCATTTCCTCCAGGTTGGATTTCTTCCCTGAATCCAGAGTTGTGTAGCTTCCACATCCAAGCCAAAACCATCTCTTAAAAATGGGAATCAGCTCACATCCCTTCCCCACTGCAAACCCTTTAATGGGCCACCACCACGAAAAGATACCCCAAGTGACTCATCCTGGTGGTGCCTCCCTCTTCAGCACCTGGCCTCCTGAGTCCAGCTGTACCTCTCTCTTGCTCTTCCTTCAAGCCACTGAGCTCTTTTCCACGCCAGAGCCTTTGCCCTTGCTGCTCCCTGCACCAGCAACACATTGCTTCTACAACTTGCAATGGTCTGTCCTTCACTTCATTCAGGGCTCTGCTGTCTCATCAGAGAGCCATCCTCCAACCGCCCCCCACCCTGCTCAGTATTTCCTCATGCCATTCATCAGGAGCTGACAGAAGAGCACACATTAGCTTATGTGTTTACTGTCTCTCAGTCCCTCGAGAATTTCAGATCCATGAAGCAAGGACTTTTCTGTCTCCCAACCCCCATGCACGCCTGCTCAGCAACACCTGTGGAACCTCCTGTAACTCTTGATTTGCCTGCAGGAAAGGAGAGAGCCCTGGACTTTGGTTGGCATGGCACCTGGAGGGTGGTGGGGCATGCGTGGTAGCACCAAGCCCGCCCTCCTGCGACAGCCCCCCAGCAGCACTGTGCTGATGTTCCGGACCAGAAAAGTCTATTGTTTGAGCAAAATGCTGATGGCTGCCCCTACAAGAGCCGGGCTGTGACCACGATTGATTTCCATCAGTCCTCACGAGGAAAATGTCCCGGCTATTTCAGTAAGAAA